GATGTTTTGGTTTAGTCGTTAAACGTTCGATCGACAAGAGTGTTATAAGAAGTTGATGATCCTTTCTCTTCTTTTCTCCTTTTTGTCACATGTATGGTAGGTAATGACCGGATCCCACCCGACGCCGCAGGGACAGGATATCTGCATGCATGTTGAATGCGCCCGACACGCTGAACCAACCTGTTGTTTCTCACGTGCACGCTCGCGTACGACCGCGATCTCGAGGAAACCGAGTCGCTGCGTACTCGTTCGTCTGTGTGAGTCAGCCTTGGGACTCCATATAAGGATGCAGGGGACCGAGTTTTCTAAACGGATATGACTGCAGAATTTCCCTCTTGGATGTCCGATTGTGAGAGTCTGAGGGGCCCGGAATACCGCGAATACTGGGAAGGTGAACAACTCAGACGGCGATCGATTGTGTACGAGGGACTTTCACTGTGCGATAACTAACGATCCTAGGGGCGCCAATTACCCAGATACTTATAACACGCAGTATTTCATATTCCCCGGCTTTGTCGGTATTACTACCAGTTTCCCTCCCTTCCACCTCCTCCTTCCATATCACCAACACACGGTGGTGCCGTGGAATTCATAGCCCGCTATTGGCCCCGCATACCGTGCGAAAAGTGTCGGTGACACCAGGCCTATCTAGCCTCGGAACTCGGAGAACCCGCACCGAAGCCGAACGGCGCCGACAACTGGTCGAACCGCACGACCCGCCACGAAGGTGAAAGCAGAGGAGATGGTGATTCCCATTTCTTTTAGGCTTGAAAATTGAGTTTGTTAGCAGAGGCAATGTGGTTGGGATTTTGCTCAAGAATGCACGAATGTTTAGATCTGTCGGTACTGTGATCGTGGAAAAGTGCCTCGGATCTTTAGCTTGAGATGCACTGCGCATGCTATCTGCCTTATGCTGCACGACATCAGCAGCTTCCCTTTCTGTGCACACCCTCTTTGCGCTTATACCCCCGAAACTTGCTACAGGAGATCTCAGTTCCGACCTGGGACTCCACACCCACTTTCCTAAAATCCTTCGCACACCCCTTTTCGCACTTCCGGGGCCCCATCCCACTCCGAACAGGAAGTCGCGCTGGGTGTGAGGTTGGGGCGTCACAGTACTGCACGGCAGGATTTGGGTCACTCAACTGCCACACAAACTCTTTTCTATCCTATCCTGTTGCTAGTGGGACTATGCCCCTGGAATTCACGGCAGTTGCGTCTTTCTTTTAGACCTGTTTCTTTCTGGAAACAAAAAAAAAGAATTTGACTTTTGGTGGGCAGCTCTCGTAAGAAAAAGGAAAAAAAAAACAGGAAAAAGGGATGGATTTTTATACATGGTGTTACCCCTCTGCCCGTATAATCGCATTCCTAGAGCAGGTCGAGACTGTCCTTTCTGTTTTGTGACGTATACGGGTGTGCTGTGTGACTGGGAAGTGCCGTACAATCGCAAATTGGCTCACATATAATTTGCTATTGTACGTGCTACTGTAGTGTGAGTATGCCCTCAGTTCTGCCTGTCTATCGTTGATTCAGTTCTGCCTGTCTATGGTCGAAGGGTTCAAATTAAGGGCGTCGCCACACCACTTTCGAAATGTGCAAATTGAGAATGAACTTCCCGCTAGAACACGGCCAGATGCGCCCGCCAAACTTTTATCTTTTTCGCATTCGAGAGTTGTGTGGCAATACCTTTCTCGGCCTTTTTTTTTTTTTTTTTTTTTAAGCTTTTTTTTTAAAAAAAGCTATATTCTTCTCTCATCTATGTCATTCTTCTTGCTAGTACTCATCTATCGCATCCTCTCACTAGTGTATGTGTAGTACGGGGGAACACCAACCAACCCGGATCTCTCCCCAGCCCACGGGGTAGGTTGGCACCACAGCAGTGGTGCGAGAGCAAGGCTGTACCAGTCCCTCATCACGGTGACGAGGGGTGGGCAGGCATTGCCGATGGGGGAAATCGGCGGTGCTAGCGCCGAGCAATGGCCAGTCACTGCACCTCCCCCTACCCCCCCCCAAACCCCACATGGCGGTGTCTAATGGTCAATATTGTCGCTGCATAGCAACCAACAACATCAACCAAGGTCCTGCCAATGCTGGCTTGGGGGGCCAACGAGTTATTTCTAGCTGGTAGAACACCAAGCTTGCCCAGGCACGTACGTGAGGCCAATGGGGATTGAACCCACGCCCTCCTGAATGCAACTTCTGTGCCTTACCAACTGACTAGGCCTGCAGACCTTTCTCGGCTTTTTGGCTAAGGTCAAGTGTAGTATCTGTAGCACTCTTGGTGCCAACCAACTGAGATAGTCAGCTGGATCCTCCCAGTCGGTATCCGTAAGGTCTTCAGCCAACACGGGTGTGAGTGCGTGTGTGAGTGGGTTGAGTGTGGTGTGTGGGAGAGTGTTGGCTTTAGACACTACTGTTACTCGATGGGGGTGGGGGAAGATGAATAGGGAGGCACAGTTACCGGCAAAATGCTCGGTCCTTGTGTTAGCCGGGCCCCCACCGGCGGCCCCAACCCTGCACCCTAAAACGCTAGGGCAAGGGGCAAATATGCCCTTACCCCTCTCCAACGACCGAGAGAGGTAACCTCCCTTCACCGAAGAGAGGTAGACAGCTATGCTTGCAGGGGTCCCCTGTATAGCCTTAGGAGTAGTGGTAGGTAGTGAAAAGAAATATATGTTCCATGACATGGCAGAACGCCAGTTAAAAGAAAGATATGTGAGGTGAGAGAAAAATATATGGCTGTCCCCCGGGACCAAGTCCCACTAGCATCGATTTACTCTTCGGCTCCATGGTTTTCAACCACGTGCGGCGCGAGGTGACATCCGGCGACCGTTGATCCGTTTGTGTATCGTCGGCGCAGTATTTCGTTAGGGTATCTGTCCGCCGGCCAATAGAAGAGTTTCCTTTTCATTTTTTTTGCCCATTTAGCTAGCCACTTTGCGTTGGCGCGAAGCTGCAATATTAGGGAGGTCGGAGGGGGGGGCGTTTTTGCATCGATGTTGTTTTCTTTTTTTATGTGGTAAAATTGAGAATATTGAGATTTCCGTGGAAGACTGCGAAAAGGCCGGCGGGAAGGTCGCATGCAGATGTACCGGGTTGGTGGAAGTGTGGATGCACTGAAGCTCTGTCATGATGTCGATGTCAGGCCCCGTAATTTTTCGTTTTTTGGGTCCTTTTCTTTTCTTTTTTTTTTCTTTTCTTTTTTTTTTCTTCCGATCCTCTGATACTCTCTGATCCTGCATCGGTTGGGCGTCTCGCTGCCTTGCGCCGGAATTACTTACAGGTTCCTCTTCACCGGCCCGTGGGCAGTCTTCATCCGCCGTATGGAACCACCATCTACACCGAGTACACCATGGGGTGTGCTTGCACACGAACTTGATTCACAACACCTCATTGCCTAGCCGAATTGGGAGTTCCGCTTCAAAGTTATCCTCCGCTTCCCTCACCAGCTCGAACTTTAAGTTCATGAGCTTTGGTCTTGTCTTATCTTGTTCCGGAGGTAAACTGTTGATGACATGCCCCATGGACGTTTCCACCATACTTTCCACGTGAAACATTGCTCTCAGCGGGACGCGGAGAGCCATTACCCAAAATTTAGATTCATCGTCTTGCCGTCTTCTCTCCTCCAATTCTGTTTTAGTAAGCCATGGTTTGAACAGCATGCCATATTCCACTCCCCTAATAATCACGTTATCTTCCGCTTTGGCAATCATCCATTGAGCCACCTCTCTTGACTTTGCTACGTAGGAGACTACGTTCGGACCCTCCGAGTGCACTCTGCCCCTCTTAATAGAGCGATAAAAAATACGTTCCCTGTATGACCCGTTCTCGTAAGCTCTAATCAGATCTTCCCGGATCTTCATTGGGAGATCCCTTGCGGCCCCTTGGAAAATAACAGTAACCGTCCTCTCCTTCAGCCAGGTAGTGGTCAACTCATCTAATCTTGGAGTGACGACAAAGGTATTGACCCCACCTTCCATTCTCCACTTCCCATGCCGAAAATTCTCAGGTAATATGCCATCATCATAGCACTTGGAGATGAGGAGCTTCATACGGTCTTCATCCGTGATTGAAATATCTGTGCGCCCCGGTGGTGATCTACCCCTCTGCTGTGCTTGGCCACCCCCTTGTCCCGCCATCGTACCTGCCGACGCACTAAGTTCACCTGAGTTGGCTTTCGAATATTACTCCTCCACCGCGGTCTCCCACCTGAAACGCATCAAAGGCGCCGGAGCGCCCACATAACCCAGCTATCCCAACCTCACCTGATAAAACTTCACATGATCCAACACCCTCGTAAGGGGAGAGGCCCACTGCCTACGTTACTCTGTCCACTCGGATATTACCGAGCACGAGGGCGATATCTCCCGTGGATATCATGGCGGTACCTCACGGGAGTGGCCATGGCAGTGCTACCTGCCCACACGAACTTAGAGCGTCCAGGCGCCAACCGCCGTGCCCACCCCGGGCCTAGAGACTTACGGAGGTGAGGGCCCTGTCGACGCGCAAGCCCCGCGCACAAGAGTGTTGGAGCTAACGCATAGCAGCGCTATCGCTACCTGAAGTCTCGCGGCCACCTAGATCGTTTCGGGTCCTTTTCTTTGCATTCCTGTAAATAATAAAAAGCATTGTTTATGAGTTTTTAAATGAGAAAAGAACGCCACACACCGATTTAATCGACGCTAGTGGGACTTGGCCCCCGATGAGGAGAAGGCAGTTTCAAAAAAAAAAAAAAAAAAAAAAAAAAAAAAAAAAAAAAACCTGATCCGTGGTGGCTAAGATCAAGTGTAGTATCTGTTTAATATCTGATCCGTGGTCCATCGGGGCCCATTAAAAAAACAAGAAAAAGAAAAAGAAAAAAGAGTTGTGTGGCGAGGCCCTCGGTCTGCCTGTCGGTCGTCACTTGAAGGGTGTGTACCCTGAGTCGGATGAGGTAGTTAGAGAGTGGACGTAGGCCCAGCGCTGACCTAGAATCCGTGGGATGGCATGCGGGCGCGCGTGCGCGCGTGCGCCCCTGCTGCTATCTGAGTGCGACCGGTATTTTGTCGTTTCCCTCTCAACACCGCGAGTGTGGATCTTGGGCGAAGTGGTGAGAGAGCGGTTTCTCGCGTGGCGCGCAGCGGTCGTAGCGGTCGCAGCCCTCTCGGCCCCCCGCAGCGCATCGGAAAGACGCGCGGCGCGGTTGCACTCTCGCGCAGCGTAGCGGAAAGTCGGTCGGCGCTTGCGAAGCTCCAGGCGTTCAGCTACCGCTGGGCGAGGGGAACTTAAGGGGAGAAAAAAAAGGAAAAAAAAAAAGGAAAAGAAAAGGAAAAGAAAGGGGAAAAAAAGGAAAAAAAAAGGAAAAAAAAAGGAAAGAAAGGGAAAAAAAGGAAAAAAAAGCGGAAAAAAAGGGAAAAAAAGATTTAAAAATGGTGAAGGCGGAAGAAATATTTGAAGCTGCGGAGAGCGGCGATCTGAACTTTTTTAGTGGACTTTCCATCCCCGATTTGCGGAAAACTCGAGACCTGCGCAACGACGACGGAAGAACGGTTTTCCACGTGGCGGCCTCAGCTGGAAGTATCCCGGTACGTCTGGGCATTTCTATTTTTGACCTTTTCCCCGACCTTTTTCTCTGAATCGTCTTCATTTATTTTTATTTTTATTTTTTTTCCCCGCCGACCTATCCCCCCCCCCCCCTCCCCCCCCCTGGCAAATCCAAGATTCATCGGATCCACATGCAGTCCACGTGGCAGTCTATTAAAGAATATCGTATGGCGTAAGTGTATTCAAGGATGGGTGGGGATTATTGTCTCCGTAAGAATGATTGATTGTATGTGTCTTCGCTTTTCTCTTTAGTCGTTCATGTCCTTTGTCTGAATTTCGCTTTAAAAATTAATATAAAAACCCGTTAATTAATTTGGATCGATCTATATAGCGATCGATCAGTCCGCTGCGATTGTTGATCTGTCGATGGACCGATGATCAACTGTTAATCAATTGATTGATTGATTGATTGATTGATTGATTGATTGATTCATCGATTAAATTGGGTATCGGTTGATCAAAAAATGTTCGTCGCTTGATAGATTTGATTTTGATCCATAATTTTGTTTCTGATCTATTGATCTTGATCGATGTTCTTGCTCCTAATCGATTGATCGGTCGATTAATGGAGATGATCGTTCGTACCGATCGATTGATTGATTGTTTGATTGATTGATTGACTGATCGATTGATTGTTTGATGGATTGATTGACTGATCGATTGATTTTGATCGATGTTCTTGCTCCTAATCGATGAATTGGTTGATTGATGGATATGATCGGTCGTACCGATCGATTGATTGATTTATCAAATGATTGATTGATTGATTATTTGATTGACTTGACTTGATTTGATTGATTGATTGATTGATTGATTGATTGATTTTCTTGCTCCTAATTGATGAATCGGTCGATTGATGGATATGATCGGTCGTACCGATGTGTGATTTATCGATTGATTTATTGATTGATCGATCAATTGATTGATTGATTGATTGTTTGATTGATTGATTGATTGACATATTGATCGATCGGTGCGATGATAAGTTGCGTGATTATCGCTGGCGAATGCGGTGGTGGGTGGACAGATTGTGCGGCTTCTTGGTCATGACGAAGACGGTGGAGAGGTGGTAGCGGATGTCAACGCGTCAGACGATGAGGGATGGGCTCCGCTTCATTCTGCAAGCAGCAGCGGCCACGTGGAGGTCGTTTGTTTCCTGCTCGATAATGGGGCGAAAGTGAATCAGCAGAATTCTGGGGGAAGGACTGCTCTTCATTACGCGGCCAGCAAGGGCAGAGCTGTCATTGCGCGCCGATTGTTGCAAGCAGGCGCCAGAGTCGATCGCAAGGACTCGGTCGGTAATCAATCTCACCTACCATCACATCCTTCCGCCTTCCTGCTTTCCTTCATTTCCTTAACTCTCTGGTCAAGGAAGAGTGAAGTGAAGAAGTATTAAGTTAACTTCCCTTTTTTGATGTACTTAACTCTGGTCAAGGAAGAGTGAAGTGAATAGAGTAAGTGAAGAGAGTTAAGTGAAGAGAGTTAAGTGAACGGACTGTAAGTTAGCTTCCTGTTCCCGTTCCCGTTCCTGCTGCTGTTCCTTTTCCTGTTCCTTTTCCTGTTTTCACCACAGTTAAACACTTCCTGCAGTGGTTAACTCTAGTCAAGGACGAGTTAAGTGAAGAGAGTAAGTAAAGAGAGTAAATGAAGAGCGTAAGTTAGCTTCCGCTTCCTGTTCCTGCTTTCACCACAGTTAAACACTTACTTACTGCGCTGGTTAACTCTGGTCAAGGACGCGTTAAGTGAAGATAGTAAGTGAAGATAGTAAGTGAAGAGAGTAAGTTGGCTTCGTGTTCCTGTTCCTGTTCCTGCTTTCACCGCAGTTAAACACTTCCTTCTCTGGTTAACTCTGGTCAAGGAAGAGTTACCACAGTTAAACTCTTCCTGCTTTCTACAGCTGCACTTCCTTTACAAGTCGTTCTGAACTTTCTCAATTTTGGTGACGGCTCCCTCCGCTGATTAACTGTGGTTAAGAAAGAGTTAAAATGAACCAAACTCTTCCTGCTTTCCAGAGTTAACACTTCTTTTGCTTTAAAATTTCTTATAACTTGGTGAATGAAGCGAGAGTTTTGTCTGACTACAGACAGGATTTTACACTTGCTTCCTGCTGTCCAGTGTTTGCACTTCCTAACGGCTACCCTGTACCCTGACTCCTCCCCCTTGTGGAGATGGAAACCAACAACCTCCCCCCCCCCCCCCCCCCCCCCCCCCCCCCCCCC